ATCATTATTATAAATGTTAGTTCTAGCTCTATTTACTTCTAATCTTAAATCAGAATAAATTAATATTGTAATGCTGCTGTGCGTGGAAAAAAAAAGATGATGTTTATGTTCTTATAGAAGAATAAAAGCTGTGGAATGAAGCTTTTTAATTTTACCTCTTTTTTTTACTTCTTATCTTCTCCCTCCACTTTATCCCGTCCACCGCTTTTACAACAGGAGGACTAGCCCGCGCCCCCTGCAATTACTTTAGGCATCTATTTAAATATTACCTAGACGGTCGTAATTTGTCTGGGCCCTATAGCCCTGGTGCCGTAAGGTTTGTCGGCTTTTGTTCAGTTTTATGACTTGCTAGTATATCTGGATTGTGGCTGTCTTGGACCAGTGGTTTCAGTTGAGACGGGAGCTGCATAGACAGAGGAAGCCAAACAGGATTTGTTTCGGGAGCCCCCTGGGAGGTTCGCAGAGGCTGACTATTTCTTGGGTCTCTTGGTCCTCGATGACTCCCAGCCTAGGATTCCGGGGAGCAGGATGGGCCCACAGCGGGTCGCTAGCGTCCGCGGCAGCGGTTAGGTAGACCGCGGCAGGGCTGCATGGATCCTCCCGCCCCCAGCACGGCCTCCCCCACCTACCTGGGCTGCAGCCGCTCGGCGCCGCGCCGGCTCGCTGGGCTGCAAGATTTGGGAAACGAGCGCGCATGCTGCTCGTTCCCTCCTCTCTTCTGGCTTTCTCTCCTCCTTCCATCTTTCTCTCTCCTTTACCTTCCTTCTCCCAGGTTTACCTTACCGGGGCCGGCGGCTTCTTCCTCCGCGATGCCTTAGCGGCAGCCCCAGGGGCGCTCGGCGGCAGCGGCGGGAGCAGGTTGGCGAGGGGCCAGGCGCGATCGCAGGGTTCTCACTTGGCGGCGGTGGTGGCGGCGGCAGTAACGGCGGCGCCGGCGGCGGGCGAGGCAGCTCCAAGCGGGCAGCAACAGAACTGGTCGGTGATTTAGGTAGTTTCCTGTTGTTGGGATCCACCTTTCTCTCGACAGCACGACACTGCCTTCATTACTTCAGTTGAAATCGTCTCCAGGTACCTGTGCGCGCGGAGGCCGGGCCGGGATGGGCCGGGCGGGGCATCCAACCCCTGGTTGTGCCAGGCCTGCGGTGGCAACCTCGGCTTATCCCGCACAGGAGCCTGAACCCTGCCTCCTCAACGCTCTGCCAGGCTGCCGGCCTCACACCCCTCCCCCACTCGCCCTACCTGTCTGGTTACCTGCTCCTTCGCGGATGCCAGGGGCGTGGTAGGAATTCTGGGCCCCGGGCCATTCAAGGTCAGGGGCGCACGCCTCTGTCCTGGGCGTCTCCCGCTCCAGGCCTGCGCCTGGCCAGGGACTCTGCCATTCTCCTGCAAGGCTGGGGCACCTCCAGCCCAATCTGGGGTACCAGTTGAGGAAAGATCGCTTTGCCAGTGGAGATTCAGCCTAAATCAGGAAGCGGACAGGGCTGACAGGGGCTGGGATACTGGCCTTGTCACTTACCCTTCTCTCTGTAAACCTCTGTCTACTCCCAAGAGTTGCCTTTGACTCTTTCTTCCTTCTTTCCTTCCCTTCTCCCCTCTTTTTTTCTCGTTTATCCCTTCCTTTTTTCTTTCCTTAATTTTCTTTCACCTTCAGTCTGTGTCCAGTTTTCTTTCTGTCTCCTCCCCAACTATTCCTTGGGGAGGAACTGGGGGAAGAGATAACAGGGCTTGTTTGGGGAGAGTGGGGTGGGGGTGTCTTATTTTTCCATGCGCGTTCAAGCAGAGGTGGGAATCTGCTGAGGAAGAGCTGGAGGGGCGCAGCTGTCTAGGGCTGTGGATCTTGGCCTGGTGTGCCGTGGCCCAGACAAGGCCTCGGTTATGATCACGACCGGATGGCGGCGGCCTGGCGTTCCTACTCCGCGGGTCCTGAACGGCAGCTTAGGCGATCTAATTGGGGGGAATTCTCGCCGTTTTTGTGTGCCCATTCCGAGGGCAAGGAGGCCTTCGCTGACTTCAATGGGGAGATGAGGCTGAGTCCTGGGCTCAGCCAGGCCCGGTGGAACGACACGCAGGGAACTGCCACAAAGCTTCCTCTGCTTTCCCGGCCTGCTGGTCCAGGCTCCGGCTTTAATCGCGATAAGGGAGCCCCGCTAGGGCAAAGATTGGCTGCTTGCCAGTAGCTTCTATCAGGGTCAGAGGATGTTAGATATGGCATCCTTGTGGGGATATTACTAGAGAAGGGAATCGTTCCAGTGCCAGTGTGTTTCAAATAATAGGGGAAAGGAAGCCTAAATTCTAGACACCGAGTCGGCGTTCCAAGTTGTAGGCCACGGTTTGAAGCCAATGGGGCCATTCTTGCTTCCGAGAACTGAAAACAATTTCCACCCCTGGGAATCCAACATGCCTGCAGGCCTTCAGGCTCAAGCTCACGGAACAGTACTTACCTCCCCAGCTCCAGCAGCCCAGAAACTATTTTCAGTGCCCAGCCTGCCCTCCTGTTATCGGAAAGGCTGTCACAGGGCATTCTCCTCAATTCATCTCTGCCATTTTCAGGACTTGAGTAGTCGATTCGTTTTGGAGGCCAAGGTTTTTGAACTCTCAGTCTAGAAAAGGCAATTTGTAATTACACCCATTTATTGTTTCTTTATGCACACATAATCTCTTTCACCTCCAAAATAAAAGCAAACACAAAGGCCTGAATATTCTCTCCCCAATTCTGTGGGCTAAATAGGGATAATATTTAGTTTTGTGATTTCCCCCTTTTTCCTGACACTGCTTAATTCTTAACGCGGGATAATTATTTAGAAGCCATTCTATTGGGAAAGTCTAAGGTTATTTAAAACAACATAGCCTGTTTTATTTTAAACATTACTAACAATAATTGGTGTCTTCTCTGGTTACCAAAAAAAAAAAAAAAGGAAAAGGCAACCAGGCGTGTCCAGCCTGTTCGTAGACAATTACAATTAGGGGTGAAGGTTTCCGCCAGAGTTAATTTTTCTTAATGAAAATCTAAGGGGTCGATATTTAGGACACCCTGGGCTGCAGTGGGGGTGGGGATACGGCGGAGGAATTTACAAGGAAAGGAAAATATTAGGGAGGAGGGGGCTGAGGCGGCCAGGACTGGCCACGTCGGAGTTCATTGTGTCGGCCACTTCCCTCTTCCGGCGCGGGCAGAGGAAGGGGCACCCGGTGGCTCTCGGCGCGGCTCCGCAGCCTCATTCTCCGGGAGAGCCTGGCATTTGCGGGTTCCCGCCTGGGACAGGGATGTATCAGGATTTGGGGGGATTACTGGAACTGTTGGGGAGGATGAAGGAAAAACAGAAGATGGAAGAGACCCATGCCGCTCGCCCGCCCTCGCCGCCAGGGAAGAGGGCTAATGAGAAACACACTCTTGCAGGCACAGTGTTCACACGTGAATTTAATTACCCCTTTTTAGGAGTCGCCTCTTTCTGTTCGGATTGGGGGTAGGTTTTGTTTTGTTTCTCAATTAACATACAGGCCGAGGCCTTTTAATTTACCTCTGAAAGACTCTAAGGAGTAAGAAATATCTTCCTCAATTTGGCCAAGCTAAGAAATAGGATTAAAAGTCAATGTCCTGTGCCCCTCCCTGTTTTAATTTCTAGCCCTGGACTTGATCGGCAGCCCGGAGTTTTGGGCCTTGTAACTGCAGAGCCTTGGGTCGGGTGGGTAACCTAGGCGGGTCCAGGATAGTGGTCAGAAAGGAAGGAGCCCAGAAGAACTCATACAGGGGGCCCAGAGGCAACCGCTCCGGTGCCGGCTTCCCAGCTACTAGAGTCAAGGGATCTCTTAGGCGGAGCTGCTTTTTCGCCAGAAAACTCGCCTTTCATTGATCCTGCCTCGTGTTTTTTCGCAGCTCGGGTTCAGGGAATGACCCTGATAGAAGCTACGAGGCTTGCAGAGCTCAGCGTTAGGGCCTCCAAGGTCGGAACACAAGGCTGGGACGCCTGTTGGGTCTGCCGGGGGTGTGGATAGTGGTGCCGGCGGACCGCGAGCAGGGCGCGGTGGTCAGGCGTATACGCGGGGATGGAGCCGAGCGCGGGGCACAATCAGGTCCTCAAATCCATTGCCCCAGGGAGGACTGGCCGCTGTCTTCCAGGTCGTTCCTCGGTGGGGCCCTCGCTGGAGGATCAGCGGCGATTTTGGGAGCTGCCCGGGCGCCCTGCGCGCCAGTTGGGCAGATGCCGGGGGCGTTCACAATTGATGCTGCCTTCTCGGTGACCTGTCCCTGTCCAGCGCGCTCCAGCAGAGGTGGTGGTGGCTCAGTCTGGGACGGATACTGCGTTGAATTTGACTTTTCTCGACCAGCCCCGGGTAAACTCGCATCTCTAGGGACCGCAAGGATTATTTACAGGGAGCTCGCCAACCAAACACAACAGTCTAATTTAACCTTTCCAAGTCCTCGTAAATTTTTACAGCTGGGAGTCACGAGGAGGCAAACGAATCTGTTGGTCGTTCCCAATTTCCCACCAGCCTGTGTGACTTCTGAAACAATAACTCCTTATGAAATATCATAAATATAGATTTAAATACAGTAGAGCGAGAATGCGATTTGGCTGCCTTTTTATGGCTTCAATTATTGTCTAATTTTATGTGAGGGGCTCTGCTGGCCGCACTCGCGCGCGGGACCCGCGTCTTGCTGATGGCGTGATTAATTGTGATATAAAATAGTCCGCTTAAGAAGTGTGTGTCTGGTGGTGGCGGTGGGAGGGGAGGGAGTACAGAGGCAAGGCGAGATTTGATCTTTTAATCTTCGTTGGCCACAATTAAAACAAACCCGATCGCGGAGCGCCGCGATCCCTTTGCATAAAAACATATGGCTTTTGCTATAAAAATTATGACTGCAAAACACCGGGCCATTAATAGCGTGCGGAGTGATTTACGCGTTATTGTTCTGCCGGGCGGGCACGTGACGCGCGCGGCCAATGGGGGCGCGGGCGCCGGCAACTTATTAGGTGACTGTACTCCCCCCCCCCAACTGGTGGCACCAAGTTGTTACATGAAATCTGCAGTTTCATAATTTCCGCGGGTCGGGCCGGGCCGGCCGGGCGCGGGGCACGGCAATGGCCACCACCGGGGCCCTTGGCAACTACTACGTGGACTCATTCCTGCTGGGCGCAGATGCCGCGGATGAGCTGGGCGCGGGCCGCTACGCGCCGGGAGCCTTGGGCCAGCCCCCCAGGCAGGCCGCGGCGCTGGCCGAGCACCCCGACTTCAGCCCTTGCAGCTTCCAGTCCAAGGCGGCGGTGTTTGGCGCCTCGTGGAACCCGGTGCACGCGGCGGGCGCCAACGCGGTGCCCGCGGCCGTGTATCACCACCATCACCACCACCCCTACGTGCACCCCCAGGCGCCCGTGGCGGCGGCGGCGCCGGACGGCAGGTACATGCGCTCCTGGCTGGAGCCCACGCCCGGCGCGCTCTCCTTCGCGGGCTTGCCCTCCAGCCGGCCTTATGGCATTAAACCTGAACCGCTGTCGGCCAGAAGGGGTGACTGTCCCACGCTTGACACGCACACTTTGTCCCTGACTGACTATGCTTGTGGTTCTCCTCCAGTTGATAGAGAAAAACAGCCCAGCGAAGGCGCCTTCTCCGAAAACAATCCTGAGAATGAGAGCAGCGGAGACAAGCCCCCCATCGATCCCAGTAAGTGTCTCCTCCTTCCAGGCCGGCCACCGCCTCCACGCCGGCCACCCGGATCTGCCGGCCCTCCAGCTTTCTCCGGAGCCTGCCTTCGCCTTCGCTGGGAGCCTCCTGAGCAAAGGCCGGGAGCCAGAAGTTGCTCTTTGGGAAGCCTCCTCGGATGGGGCCCCCCAAGTCCAGAAAGCAGTGACAAGCCGGCCCGCCGGGCTTCGGGGGAGGGGAGGCGGCGGCTGCCTGGAGAGGGGGCGGGGCAGGCGCTGCGGGACGACCCGAGACCTGGTGACCCTCTCCTTGGCTTGCCCGGGACCAAGACAGAGATACTCTGGGCGAGATTCTTCGAAAGCGACGCGCCAGAGAAAGCCTTTTGTGCGGCTAGATTGTCCGGGAGCGGCGGTAGCAACTGCAGCCCGGGCAGCCTGACCCGGGACGCTGGGGAAGACGGCCGATTCTCTCCACTTCTTGCTTCAGCCAGTGGCGGCGTAAACCCTGCCCAAGATGCGGCTGCAGGCGACCGGGACGCGAGGGTCCCCGTGCTAGATTATTCAAATAAACTGGAGAAGTGATCAACGGCCTTGGGGTGCCTAGGGGCGCCATACCGGCCTGGCCAGCTCCCACGGCCTTCCCGGGAAGTCAAAATAAGGAATGGGGAGAGTAGATGGAAAGGTGGGAAGGAAAGAGAGTCAGTGAGAGGGAGAATAGAATATTAAGCTTGCTAAGGAACACAGGGCAGCGTTGTTTCCTCCTGTGTGGCAAGAAAGAGATCTGTTTGCAAATTTCACTTCTTACACAACGTGTGGAGAGTGGGAGGAAGCAGAGAAGGAGAAAGGAGGGTCTGGGGTGGGGGTGGGGGGGAGCCGAGGTTTTCCGGCGTGCAATTGTAAGTGACCGTCCCTGCGTCTGTCTGCCAGGGTTCCATTGTATCCGAGGCTCGGCTGCCTTCCCTAACCAGTTCAGCAGCGCCCTGCACTTTGGCTGAAGACCCCAGGAGTTTTCCTAGCCCCCAGCGGAGGGGGGTGGATGTGCTTATTCGCCTCCTAAATCCCCCCTCTCTGTCCCCCACCCGCAGGTAACCCGGCTGCCAACTGGCTCCATGCTCGCTCCACGCGGAAGAAACGCTGCCCCTATACAAAACACCAAACGCTGGAACTGGAGAAGGAGTTTCTGTTCAACATGTACCTCACCCGGGACCGCAGGTACGAGGTGGCCCGACTGCTCAACCTTACGGAGAGGCAGGTCAAGATCTGGTTCCAGAACCGCAGGATGAAAATGAAGAAAATCAACAAGGACCGAGCAAAAGACGAGTGATGCGACTCGAGTTCATTTAGAAAAGAGAGAGTGAGCTAGAGAGAAAGAATTGCCCGTCCCCTTCTCCTACCCCCACCCCAGCCCACCTCAGCCTCCACCACCCCACACAAGGCGGTTGGAAACTCCAGGCCTCATGTCCTAGGCAAACCCTGTTCAGGCTGGTTCCTTGGCCTGCCACTTTGATGGAGGAGGTATTGTAAGCTTTCCATTTTCTATAAGATTAAAAAAAAAAAAAAAAAGGTGGGGGCATTAGCGCTGATGGCTTTATGTGCTAGCTTGTATATATTAAAAAAAAAAAAATCTACCTGTTCCTGACTTCAAACAAACAAAAAAACTACCTTTTTATAATGCACAACTATTGACGGCGGGCTGTATAGTTTTTAGACTGTGTGTAGTTAATTTAATTTGCTCTTTGTGCAGCAGAGTGATCTGCCCAGATACTTGAATACTGTGTTTTATTGTGGTAATTATGTTTTGTGACTCAAACTTCTGTGATGGGTGACGCACCCGTTGTGCTTGTGAAAGCTAGAATTCGATTTGAACTCAGGTTGTTTATGAGGGGAGAAAGCAGTTGCATAGAGTATAGCTCTGTAGTGGAATATGTCTTCTGTGTAACTAGGCTGTTAACCTTTGATTGTAAACTAGCTGTAAGGATTTCCCAGTGACATAAAATTTTAAAACAAGAAAAAGAAAGAAAGCATTCTCCGGGACGCATAGATTCATGGTTTTCTCCATTTTTGAAATGCAGACATTTTAGTTTCTACATGCTCTCTAGACTGGTCTTGTCCATTGTATATATACAATCCACATATTAAAAAAAAGTAAACAAGCTTGAATATTGTTTTTGCACCAAACAGTGAGGAAATTTGGAGCTATACGTATGTGCAGATGGTTACTACCTATGGTTTACGTTTAATTTTAATTGGGGGAAAAATGAATGCTTATTGTAATGGAGTTAATTTTATTGATAATAAATTATACACTATGAAACCGCCATTGGGCTACTGTAGATTTGTATCCTTAATGAATCTGGGGTTTCCATCAGGCTGAACGCACACTGTATATTTTGCAATAGTTACCTCAAGGCCTACTGACCAAATCGTTGTGTTGAAATGATATTTAACTTTTTGCCAATAAAATATATTGATTCTTTTCTAATTTCTGCTGGTCAGCTCTTTGCACCTTCTTCTCCGGGGCAGGGGAGCCTGGGTAGGCTGGGGGTGGCAGAGCGGCTGAAATGCAGGAGGACAGAGCTCAGTTGTGTCTCTGACTTGGGAGCGTGAACCTGCAGCAGCCAGACCCAGGCGGCCCTCCGCTCTAACTCCCGCGCTGGCTGCCTAGCGACTGCAGGCAGCGAGCAGAGGAAGGGTGGACAACAAGGGGCGGAGAGGCCCTGCTCCCGGCTTTGTGTCCGGTTGCGGGACTGCGGGGAGGTTTCAGAAAAGTTGGCAGGGCTGGGATGTCGCTTACGGCTGTCCAGTGGCTGGGAATGGCCATTCTTTCGTCTTGGCGCCCCAAGAATTCCCCAAACCCGGGTCCACCGCGACTGGAGGGGGGCCTGGACCTTCTTCTCTGGCAGGGTGGGTAGGGGGAGCTGGGAGGGCGGTGGCAGGACCGAGAGCTGCCTCCTAAGGCCTCTACCAGGAGGGAATCTGGAGCCCGGCCGCCCCAACGTGGCCGCGGGCACGGACAGTTGGCGGCTCCCAGGGGACTGGATTTTGCCCGCGCCCCCGCACCCCGCCCCCCGCATCCTGCCGGGCGGGCCCGCCCCGCACACCTCTCCCAAGCACAAGTCCTGTCAGAGGCAGAGCCGAGGCAACTGACCAGCCCCAAGCGCCATAAAAGAAAATGAGGGCTGTTACCGTTTATGGGGTGTAAAGGGCTGCGGGGGGAACGGCCGCAACTTCGGAGGCCGGAGCGCCTTCTAGATGTGGCGGAGGGTTCAGCCTCCTACCCCACTTCTCTTTTCTCGCCTCCCCGCCCCCCGCCCTCGATTTTTGCAAAGTTATCTGTGTTTGGGCGCGGAAAAGGGGAATGGGGACAACGGAGGATGGGGCGTCCGCTCACCCCCACCCCCACCCTGCCGCCAGGTTGGGACGCCCTCTGTTGTTGCAGACAGAGGAAACTTCAAAGAATGGGCAGTGAGGGTGTGCCATAAAGGCCGGGTCTGCGAACTGTCTGGAATTCGGCTCTTAATGGGTTTACAACTGTCCAGCCCCAATTAAGATTTTCCACCAAAGCCCTTTCATTTCTTGGCTCTGGCTGCCGCCGATAAAGCGGCTGCGGAAACAGCTCTCTTTTTTATGGGCACTGCCCTCTCGGTAGCGTAGATTCCGGGCTCCGTGCAGACCCCCTGGGGATGGGCCCTTGCCCGGCGTGGAGAGTGGTACCCCCGACCCGCGGCGGCTGCTGACGAAGTTCAGGCCGGGCGGGTGGGCTGCAGTGTCAAGGAGAGGCCAGCAGATGGCAGTATGGCTCCACGCAAGAGGCACCCGCGCCGCCATCTCCCGCCGCCGCGACCCCGGGAAGTTCCTAAAATGTCGACTTGATGCAGGCTCTTCTGGAATGGGAGCCCCAGATTTGAGCGAAAGGCGGTCGTATATTTTCGGTGCCGCTCATGCCTGGCCAGAAGCCTCGCTGGGAGACAAAAAAAAGCAAGCGACTGGGTCTCGCCTGACCTGCACAGTTTGCGCCCGCGTCTCTCCCCATCCTGGGCGGGGGCCTAGCGCTGCGGTGCTGCCGCTGTCCCGAGGCTGCGGGGCGGTAGCTCCAGTCGCGGGGACCGATCTAGGGTGACCGTGCCCATCCTGGCGCAGACCTCGGGGCCTCACGACACTCGGAGAACGCGACCGACCGGCGGACAGACACCAGGATTAAGGCCTACAGCCCGTGGACCTGGTGACCCTCCAGAGGGCGCGCAGAGGGCATACACAGTGGCCAAGGGTCCTGTGGCGACCCGAGAGACCCCCCGAAGGCTGCGTCCCCGTGCAGGGAGAGTCAGCACTCGGAGGCGAGCCAGGACCCCGGGACCCCTCGGCCGCCTTAAAAACGTCACGGGACAATCAGGCGGCTGAGAATTGGGCGTAAAGGCGTATCTTGGTAACTGTCTAGTGTGGTTCTGGAAGGATGGGGAATCCCGGGACTGGGACCAGGAACTGCTTTGGTTATTCTAAAATACAGGATATTTAAAATAATCATATTTACATCCCAGCTCCAGGACAAGAGTTGACGTGGTGAAAGTCGCCCTTGCTTTCTCTCGCCTCCGAATTTCCTGGGTAGTGGAGGCATCAAGGCTACTCTGGCGTCCGTTCCCTGCTTCAGAGGCGAGGACGGGGAGGGAGGGAACCCCAATCCCATTCGAGCCTACCCTCGACCCTGGGCTGGGGTATACGCCTCAGACCCTTCCAGGAGGAGGGCCGGGTGCGTTCCTGCGTTTCCGAGGATCAGCCCCGGGTACAGAATGGTTGCAGGAGGAAAATGCAAAAGCAAACAGGGAACCCCGCCGAAGCAGTCCTGAGCCCTGTGAACACGCCACGCGGTGCGTTTATTTGGGTTGTAATAATCTCCGCCAAGCCCACAAAATGTTTACAACCTGTATCTCGGCGCTGTACACGCTGTAAAACCAGGGACTGCGTTTTTTTGGCTGACATCTCTCCTGAGCGCCACTATCCGTGTGTCTCTCTCTCCCCTCCTTTTTCTGTTTATATACACACGTTGGTATTACAGACACACGCCTTCATTATATTTCCTTACTTAATACATAAAATTTCACAGCCTTTGGTGAAAGGGGTTTTTTATAGCTTCCCCAAGAGTCACCCGTGGCCATGTCTCCAAGCCGCGGATACAAAGCTCGATTTATGTAACTTTAAATAAACGGCGAAGGAGCAGATCGGTGGTTACCAGTTACCGAGGCCCCAGGTCCCAGGTAGGTGCAAGCCGGTCGGGAACTCAGAGGCCTCGTGGACTACCCCGGGCAAGGCCTCTCTTGCCCTTGGCCGGCGGGTGTCCGGGAGGCGTGCAGACGGGACCCCGCCGGGACCCCGCGGCCGCCGGAGTGCCTCTGCACTGCGAGGAGTCGGTGTCCGAGTCTCGATGGAAGACTGCGCATTGGGTGCATAAGAGGCGCGCAACCTGAGCGTGGGTTGCATGTGGCAACGTTTATAGAAGCAAATCTTCACCCGGCCAACCCCTGGCAGGCTCCATTCACCGCCCCAGAGCTGGGTTTACCTTCTTAGCTGGATTTCAATATTGAGGACCGTTTGGTAAAGAGAAGCAGGGGAAACACTTTGCTAGGTAGGTAGGACCCCAGCTCCAGGAGGGTCCTAGGAAAATGTCTTTATCTAAAGACGATTCGGCTGATAAGAAACCCGCCTTCACGTGGCCTGCTTCAGATTGAGTGTCAACGAGTATTTGTGTGAATATTATCACATTTAATCCAGCGCATGTGTATCTGATCGGCCAAATAAATAGAAAGCCGGAGGCTCGCGAACACGCATTTCAAGAGGCCATATTGAAAGCATAGTCTTGTCTGGCTTTTCCGCTTTAAAACCCCGCTGCAGAAGGCAAGAGATGAGAGAGAAGCTCAGAAACGAAAGGGAGATTTCAGCACCCGTGGGGCTCAGCGGGGTTGGCTGACTTGGGCCCAGAAAGACTGATGCCTTGCTGGCAGTATCTGGATCCTCTTTGGCCCAGGAGGAGAATCAGTGCATTCTGCCAGGATGGCTTGGACCTGCTCCTAACAAAACTCGGGCAGGGATGAGCTTGTGGCACGGGCTCTCAGACCTCTTGGCTGGGAACGGGTCCTTTCCTGCACTCCCAGAAATCGCTCCTCCTCAGCCTGTCGGGTCGCCTCACTAGGGCAGGTTCTACTACAAACGCCATAGCTGTCGGCTGCTCCAGCCCCCGGAGTCTAGACAGACGGCGGCGGCGGGGCCGGTCTTTCTCTTTGCATCTTGCTCTGTGTCACCCGAGGAACAATTTATTGGTCTAAAGCTGTCTAATTCCGCTTCTTTGATCTCCTAGCCTTCTTGTTTGTTTGGTCTTTCTTTAATTTTCTTAGGTTTTTACTTCCTACCGGAAAGTAATGCTATTTGGAATATTTGTTTTTTTCATTCCTACCAATCTTGCCCCCTCCATTCCCCAACGGGGACACGCTGTCACCCTGGTCCTCCATAAAGGGCATCCCTGGATATTGCCGCACCATGGCCCCTGCGCCCCCAGGGAAAACCACCAGGCACCCACCTGCTCAGACAGCCCCCACTTCCCCACCTATGCCTCAGGCAGTCTGTTAGGCCAGAGCTGGGACTCCGTTTTCATCCAAGCGTGAACCCTCCTGTCACCTTTTGTGCTTCTGGGACCCCCTGAGAGCGTGCGGTGAACGGGGACAGCCTGAACCCTCTGAAAGTGATGGGAAGTTCTTTGTACACAAGGAATCAAACTCTATAACTCAGAGGAGAATTTCCGGGGCAATTCCATTGTGAGGTCGGGTTTATGGTGTGCAATCGAGCTGAGCAGTAAAAGGCGTACTAACCCGGCCGCTGGCCTTCCATCGCAGTCTGGGCAGTTTATGAGGCATTTAGGGGAAGGGTCGCCCCACCACCCTCTGGGGTACTCCAACCCTGCACTGGAGATTGGAGGCTTGGGAAAGTAAGGTCCTAGAGTGGGGGCCCTGCGTGGAAGTGAGTGAGACTACTTTGTGCTCCAGTCTTGGAAAAGTAAAGCCAGTCCTTGGAAAGGTGAAGCTGCCAGAGCTGGGTGGCCTTTTGGAAAAGGTCTGAGGGGGGGGGTCCTCCCCTTTTGTTTGGGGGTCTCCAAAAGAAATGGAGGAACATAGGGGTTGTAGTCCCCAGGCCCCTGGGGCCTCTCTCCTCTCCAAATTGGCTCTAAAGCATGTTTGGCGCCCAGGAGAAGGTAGCCGAGGCCCAGGGATGTCCCCAGTGAAGGCTACCAGAAACCTTATAGTAACATTGGCACCTGGAAAGGTGTGGGCCTGGGGGAAAAGAGATTTGGTTCCCTTTGAGCGAAGAGGAACCAAGAGTTGCACAGAGGACAAAAGTGTCCACGCATTTCTTCGGCTGCCAGAGGCCAGCCAGGTGCCCAGGAGAGAACGCACAGAACCTGCCCAGCCAGCGGTGTTCGGGAGGAGGGAGGGAAAGCGCATGTTAATAAATCTGCTGGCAAATGAGGCTCATTAATAGATAAATATTTCACTGTTTCCTTTAGGAGGATAAACAGTGCGCCGCCGATTTAGGAAAGGAAGCTGGGAGACCTTGACTTTATTCCAACCACATGGTTCCAGTCTGTGGTGGCCTTCCTGCTGCAGCTGCAAGCGTCGCTGCACCGGCCCCATCTGGATCGGAGTCTAAGTCGGCCTCTGGCCCGCTGGATTTGGGACGGGGAACGTAGGCAAAGAGTCGATTTGCCCAGAGCTGAGACTTGTCCGCTTGGCCACCGATACAGGGCCGGCACTTGGGAGCGCAGAGACCCTCCCTGGGTTGGGTGAGTGGGTAGAAAAGAGGGGCAGGGAGGACCCGCCAGCTTGGTCCAGCGTCCGGGAATAAGCAAGGAAGGGACTGCGCCCGGCCGATTCCACGCGGCCTCCGCCGGCCAGGGGTCCGGGCTGGCGGCGCGCGGAGCCTCCACGCGGCGCCTCGGGAATCCTTTTCCCGCGGGATGCGCCAGGCCGGCTGGACGCGGACAGATTCGTTGGCCACATATTTGAGCCTGTTTCCCTTCCATTCTAGGCTGCCGCGGGCCCAGCCGGGCGAGACCACCTGTGAGGGCGGCTGAGATTGGCGGAGGCAGTCATGTGGGCGGTCACGTGCTGCGGCGAGCTCCGTCCAAAAGAAAATGGGGTTTGGTGTAAATCTGGGGGTGTAATGTTATCATATATCACGCTACCTCGTAAAACCGACACTGAAAGCTGCCGGACAACAAATCACAGGTCAAAATTATGAGTTCTTCGTATTATGTGAACGCGCTTTTTAGCAAATATACGGCGGGGGCTTCTCTGTTCCAAAATGCCGAGCCGACTTCTTGCTCCTTTGCGCCCAACTCGCAGAGAAGCGGCTACGGGGCGGCCGCCGGCGCCTTCCCTTCGACCGTACCGGGCTTGTACAATGTCAACAGCCCCCTCTATCAGAACCCCTTCGCGTCTGGCTACGGCCTGGGTGCCGACGCCTACGGCAACCTGCCCTGCGCCTCTTACGACCAAAACATCCCGGGGCTCTGCAGTGACCTCGCCAAAGGCGCCTGCGACAAGGCAGACGAAGGCGGGCTGCACGCCTCGGCCGAGGCCAATTTCCGCATTTACCCCTGGATGCGGTCTTCAGGTAGGCGCAGCCGCTAGGCGGGCCGGGTGGGCGGGCGGACTGGGAGCTGGGAGCGCCGGGCTGGGGGCGCGGAGCGCGGAACGAGGCGGCTGCGAGCCGGCGGCCCCGTGACTCCTGGCGGCGCTGCCTTTCTGGTTTTAATTAGAGCCGAGGCGCCATAGCTTGGAGAGCTCCTAGCATTGTATGTAAATGAGGCTCATAAAACTTTTTATGGCCCAATTAATGGGTTCGATCCTCGTAAATTTATTTAACTCCATTTGCCTTGGAATCTCAACATTAAGTTGGTTTGCTCTCTATTCTCTTATCCTCTCTCTTTCTCCCTCCCTTTCTTCTCTCTCCCTCCTCCTTTTCCTTTCAGCCTGGCTTTTCTTCTCAAAAGCAAGGAGAGCCAAACCCTTTAGGGTCCCTCAAGCGCCCTTGTGTCAGGGGCCATTTAAAGGCAGGGAGGGACGGATGGGTGGGAGTGGAGACAGAGAGCCCAGTGCCCTAGGAAGGTCCGGGGATGGGGGCGCGGGCTGCTGGGGAGGAAAGGCGCCCTTGGAGTGAGGGCCGCCGGAGAGGGTCTCCCACTTGCCTAGCTAGGCGGGGAAGCGGCTGGCTCGCCTTTGAATGGCAAAAGCGCAGCGTCTCCCACTTGCCCACACTCTATATTTACAATTTCCCTTTGTCAGGGGGAAGCAGGACATTGTGGAAGCCTAGCCGCCTGGAAAGAGCGGTTGTAAAGTTGGGATTCTGCGCCTTCCCCCCTCACAGAGCTGCCTGCGCAAGTGGCACCGCAGTCGGGGTCTCCCGCTAAGACTCCCGCTCCTCCCCCGGCTCAGGTTGGGGGAGCAGGGCGGAGGGGGACTCGGAGCGGGGTCAGGGCCCGGAGGGAGGTGCGCGCTCCTGGATGGCAGCCGGGTTGATGCCCTGGCCTGTGTCCCTGTCGGCTTGTCTGTCCTTGTGTCCATGTGTCCATGTGTCTGCTCGCAGGGCCGGACCGAAAGCGGGGCCGCCAGACCTACACGCGCTACCAGACGCTGGAGCTGGAGAAGGAGTTCCACTTCAACCGCTACCTGACGCGGCGCCGCCGCATCGAGATCGCCCACGCTCTCTGCCTGACCGAGCGCCAGATCAAGATCTGGTTCCAGAACCGCCGCATGAAGTGGAAGAAGGAGCATAAGGAGGAGGGTCCGGCCGCTTCCGGCGCCCCCGAGGGTGCCGCGCCCGCCGCCTCTGCAGCCGTGGCCGCCGCCACCGCCGCGGACAAGGCCGACGACGAGGACGACGACGAGGAGGAGGACGACGAGGACGAGGAGGAGGAGGAATGAGGGCCCTGGCTGCACCAGACAGTCTGGAAAGCGTCTTTAGAGACTGATTTTATTTACAAAAGTGGAAAAAGAAATAAAATGTTAAAAAAAAAACCACCCACTCCCCAACCTGCATCCAATCTACCCCATTACCCACTCCAGCTCCCAATTTTTTTTGGACTGAGCAGTCACCAGACTGCTGGGGATCCCCTCTGCCTCTGAGGACTCCCAACAGACACCCCCAACCCCAGGCCGACCAGCTCTGCGCTGGCACGGTTAAAATACTACCTAGCACAGGCCTCCTCCGGGAGAGGCACTCCCAAACTACCTATGGGCCCAGCCCCAGAGGGCCTCCACTCCCAGGAAGCCCAGAAGTGTCCCAACACTGTCAGACCCCCAGCACCTCCCCCGGTACCGGCAAGGACCTGATTCTCAGTACTACCTACTCGCCCCAAACTACCTATTTTATGCTCGCTGGCTCGCCTGCTACCTAGTGCCGAACCCTCCCCCCTCCTCGGCCAGGCCTCTGCTGCTTCCGGCTAGTAGCCTTTGGGGTCCCTGAGGCTGCGCTGAGAAGGCGCTGGGATCCGGGGACCAGGGCATTGGCTTCTATTTAAATGGAAAAATAATATATTTATTCCAAAGCATTCTAAGTGCTACAATCTATAATCCCTCCTTCTTTGGTCTGGGCACCTCATGTTCAGGCCCATCATCCCCTCCTTCTGGAGCATTCCCAAGCTAGCTGCCTGGGCCTCTGGGTTCGCTTCTGCTTAGTAGGACTGCAGAGATGCTCCCAGCCTCCCTGCCCCTCCCCTGGCCCTTGTGTCCTACTGTCCAGCCATGTTGAATATGTGTACCCTGACTTTTCCTACAATGGCAAATATTGTATATTTGAACACAATTTTTTTTTGGTCATTTATATAGTCTTGGAGCTCATTTGTAAGGCAATGTCCTGACTTGGGAAGGATGTGTTAATGGGGTGACTTTGTAGCATGGTGTGTTGTCTTGAGCTAACTCTATAGCCGGTGAGGGGACTGATGCCCTCCCCAGTGCCCTTCATCTCCTGTGTTGTCCTGTGTCCCCCTCATACCTCTCAGCTCTAGCCTGGGCTTCCAGGAACGGGAAGGTACATTTTCCTACACTTCCCGTCTTGCCCAGTTAACAGTGTTTTATGTAACAGAAAAATAAAGATGCTTGATGACAAAGAACTGTGGACTGCTTTATCTGGGAGTTGCGGTGTGCTGGGGAAGAGAGAGAGTGAAGCATGACTGGAGAGCAAGCCCTGGCTAGGTCTGTATGGCCAAAGGGGCTTTGAGACAGCAAAAATGGAAGGATAGATAGGGTTCAAGTGCTGGGTGTCATGTACTAGTGTATATGCCTGTTGAATCCCTTTTCACATGGATTGCTATGGAGATTTCTATAGGAGTGTGTACCTCTTTGTGTCTCTTTTTGTGAGTCCACAATTACGTATTTGTGTCCATAATTGTGTGCACACATTTCTGTGTGTCCATAATTGTACATGTACATTTCTGTGTGGAGATTTTTGTCTGGTTTGGGTGTGTATACAAACATCTTCCAGATCCCTTAAAAACGGAAATTTTCGATTGATACATTATAGTCTATTCTATGAACCTCCCCCAAACCCTCCATGGATTCCAGGAGAGAATCCCAAGTCCACCCTTTCCTCTAAGGTTATAGAGTGGGTTCCAGAAGGTATATCATCCTGCGACTGATTCCGAATTCCCCAGGAGCCCTGAACCCAGCCCAGGAAAGGACGCGGGATTCAGGGCCTCTGATGCCGCCCCCAGCCTCACATTCAGGAAAAGCGAGACGGCCCCAGAACCCAGCCCTGAAGCTAAGGGGTAGGAAGGGGCACTAGCCACAGACCCAGCTGCAAAACCCTGGCAAGGGCATCTGGATGCGGAAAATGAGGGGCTGGGGCTGGGGAAGGGGCGAGGGGCGGTGGGGACAGCGCAGAACAGTGGCAGCTCGGCGGGCGAAGTCCTCGACTCCCGTCTCCTGCTTGCGCTGGACCCGCTTCTTATTACTCTTTTAATAAACCCCCAGCACAACTGGGTCTGTAAAACCTGCGGCCCCAACTCGGGGCCGCCTCGGTGGTAAGATGGCGCCGGTGTAGGAGCTGCCTCCTCTTAGTGATGGGGAAAGGGTCATAAATCCGTTGTTGTTTATGAAAATTTACAACTTTGCAATACAACTTTATGAGTTGTTCGGCCCTTCCATTGGCCGCTGTCGGTCATGTGGATGGGAACCGTGAACATGAACTTTTTTATAATTTCCCTTGCGAGAATAGAGCCGCATTCTTTTGCTCCGCTCCGTCCTGCCTGCTTCGGAGCTCAGCCTTCCAGCCAGGCTCGGCTGTGCTTTGTCCGGCGATGGCGAGCGAGATGAGGCCCCGGCCCGGCCCGGCCCGGCCGCTCCCGCTGGAGGTGGGGTGTGCCCAGTTCCCGGCGCCGCGGCGGCCGCTTTGCAACTCGCAACCTGGCTAATTTCCTGCGTCCTCTAGCACCACGAAGGACAATTCGTCTCCCCGGGCTGCCCAAGCGACAGCTGTCAGAGGGACCGGAGCTTCTGGGAACCGCCATCTGAAGGTGAGACACGTGGGGAGAAAGGAGCAAAGGTGGTGAGGGGGCAGCGGGCGCCGGCGGCATTGGGAGAGAGCACCCCAGGGCGGCCCTGGAAGGGGGCAGACCTAACCCTCTCCCACCCACTCACCCGTTCACACGCACCCCCATCACAAACCACAGTTCCCACACACCAACACACACACACACTCCCTCCCTCCCTCCCCTCTTCCCAGCGTGCTCACCTTGGCTCACCTTCCTTCCGTGCCACAGCTCCCTGGCACGGGGCAGCGCCAACTGAGGGCTTCTCTCCCCTTCCCCAGCGACCTCGCAGAGCCCCCAAAAGGAAGTGACCCTGCACCCTGCGTTCCCCTCCAGCCTCCCGGGTTTGGATTTTTTTTTTTCTTTTCATTCATGACCCAACTGGCAGGATTGAATTCCCCCCAATAACTGGAGATAGTTCCCGAGGTGGGAAGATGGTAAGTGAGGAGGGCAAAGTGAATTCATCGACAGGCGTTTTTAATCACAGTACCTTCTATTCCTTGGGAAGTGGTGTCTAGACAGTAAAGGTAGAATGAGCAAAAAACCAAAAACTTACTAATTCAGCCAGAGTCCTCTGCTGAGTGCCTGCTTCGCTTCGCGTGGTTTTCCCACGAGAGAGATGTCTGGAGCGCGCGGGGAGAGGGAACAGGTTCGTGGGTGGAATTCTGTGTTGAAGGAGAGGATGGGGTTAATTGTTGGGTGTTGCTTGGCGGGAAGTTTCGGTGCAGAGGATGTAGTGGTGTTATTGTGAGTGGCAGGGGCCGCAGCTAAGGTTGAAGGAAGGATACAAACCGAGTCTGGGCGATAGGGGGACACCCCCCTCCCCAACCACCTCGGCGCAGCGGGTTGTCTGGCGACCGCTCTCCCCATCTCCCGAGAGAGCTGGGAGAGAACCGTGCAGCCGCCTGGGAGGAGGCGCGGAGGTGCGTCGGGCGTGGGCTTGGAGAGCGGGGGCACACAGCTGACTTGGCCTAGGTGAACCTCGGCCAGATTTGTCCCGGTAGCTTCCTGGGACAGCGAAATGACCCTGCCGTTCTGGGCCCGAGTTCTTTTTGTTTGTTTGTTTGATTTTGGTGGTTATTGTTTTCCCCACCTTAAGGTGATGCCTTGGTATGCATTCGATACTTGAGAAGGGTCTGTGGACGTTGGGGGCTTCCACCCGCGCCGGGGGTGGGGCGGGATGCGCTGGGGCGGATAAAGCGGCGTATTTGCATCGCGGGGCCGTGGGCTGCCTGACTGCGGCTGCCGCGGGCAGATAATTTATTGCGACCGCGCTGGGCGCTCGCTGCTGCCACGCTGTGGCCGTCTCTGGAACCGACGCCAATCGCAGCCCCGCGTCGTGCAGCCTGGCGCGACTGCTGCGCGGGCCCCTCAGAGATTTCCAAGCAACCCTAGGAGAGGGGGGTGAGGGAGGACCTAAAGGGCGGCCTCCCAGGGCCTGACTGGCCGGGAACCTCCCCCGCCTTGACCGCCCTTGACGGGAGCTGGATGCCCGACTAGACTCGGGTCCTGCTTCCACCCAGCAACCATGGAGACTGGTCGCACAGGCCGCCTGGCACGTCATGGCTGCTTCTCTCCAAACTGCGCGTTCCAAGGCGCCCCGGGGGCGCACGCTGGTTCGGGAAACGCGCGCGCTTTGGGATTTAGAAATTGGAGCTATCACTTCTAGTCCTGGGGCCTGCAGGCCTGGCTGGCTCTGAGGAGGACTGGCTATGGCAAGGAAGGCGGGCTTTGGCTCCACGCGAGGGCCTGTGACAAGCAGAGGCCGCACCTGTGTGCTATGGGCTCTGGCCTGGGCCAGCGAGCCCAGTGGACGCGGGGGCCCTCAAGGAGCCCCCCGCACGACAGCAGGCCTCCCTCCACACCCGCGGAGGTCGAGGAGCTCAGTGGGCAGCCCAGGGAAAGGGCGAAGTGTGAGGCTCTGCTCACCATCCCGTCCGCCTTGAAGAACAGCTGAAAGGTAAGTGGGTTTTCTGTGTGGCTTTGACCGAGGAAAGAACCCTGGTGGCCATTCTCACCTTCCCGAGAGGCTCCCTCCAGCGTCTGGGGCTTCTATTCTTGCCTGAAAGGAGTGCACGCGCGCTCTCTTTCTTTATATATATATATATATATATATATATATGCAACTAATGCTGGTTGGAGAAATAAATTGGGCAGCTGCCAACATGATATGTACCAGCCTTGGCTAACACCTAGAGATTTCAGTGTAATATATTTTTTCCATCTTAGTGCCTATAGAAGCTAGAAATACGCTATTTTTACTGTTAGCTGAGAGATCAAATATTTTGTTGACTGAGACAATGATTAAATCGAGAATCCAGGTCAAACCATAACAGATACTAATAATAGTAGTAAATTGCCCCCAGCCCCAACACTATGTGGAACCTAGAAGAATAAAGCAGAAATGATAAACATAAACATTTATCAACATCTCCAAATGATTATTTTCATCTTAATAACTTGTTCGAAATCACTGTCATCTGATGGCATTGTTTAAAGAACAACTCAAACATTTTCTTCTAACACAGCTTTTTAAAAATCCCTTTAAAAATTTTGACTCTCAAGTTTTAATTTTCACCTATCAGATCCTTTTCATAAAGAAATTTGAGGGCAAGTTAAAATTATATCCTCTCCTACCAGGCCCTTATTTATATATGCAAAAGAGAAACTTTCCCAGGTTCAATTGATTGGGGCATAGGCAGAAAGCTTCTGGGTGCAGCCCCCATTCAGTGGGCAGCAGCTGATTTCAAGGATGCACCATAGTCTCTGGGAGGCCAATCAGAGCCCAGTCTTTTCTCAAATTTTTTTCCTTGGGGGAAGTGAGGGGAAAAAATTGAAAAGCAAGGAAGAGATTAAGGAAGTCGTTGCCAGATTCCTCGGGGGCCCTTGCCACCCCTCCCAAGTTCTGAACCCCATCAACCTGCATTCACCAGTTTTACAGATCTTATAAACATCCTCCGGAAACTCAACCAAATCATATAAATAAGTCTTTCTTCAAGCTCCACAGAATTGAGGACTTTAAAGCTAATTCAAGGGTTTTACAAGCCTAACAAATACAGTTGTAAAAATGCCATTGTAATGGTACCACATTGTACAAAATGAGATTGATCTATGCGCTGTAAAAGTCAACTATCTTGAAGGCACAGCTCTCAGGCAAGAGAGCACAGCCCAGGACAGGCTTTTCATGTCCTGTCTGGGGAAGGCCAGGCCTGCGACTGTGGTAAACGCAATTCAGATAATTTCTGGAGCTGGGGAGACAACTGTTTCTGGTTCTGGAGCCACAGTGGGTGGCAGGTTCCCCCAAAGTCCCAGAAAAGGCAGGAAAGGGGGATATTCCAGGACAGTGCCCTTTGGACAGGTGACCCAGAAACCAAGAGCGTTAGTTATTGCCACCGCCTTGGGCCAGCAGAGCTGCCCTCTCTGCTGGGTTGAGCCAGGCACCCTGGGTCACTAGCACCTCTGAAATGAGGGCAGAGTTTCCACATCTGGATCTGTCTCATCTCTGCCACCCAGCCCGGAGCGCGGGAGGGGAGCAGGTCCTAGGGCTGGTTTGGAACTCAGTCTCACAGCCATTCCTCTGTAGATTCCTTTCTTGTTGAAACCAGTGGTTTCCAGCCTCTGCGTTCCTGGGTTCAGATGCAGCCAGAGCAGGGGCTCACAGCTTGTGTGTGTGTGTGTGTGTGCCTGCGTGTGCGCGCGCTTTGAGGCCAGGCAATAGCTGGCCATTGTAAGGAGGCCTCTGGAGACTCAAAGGAGGCATGTTGTACGTGGGAGTAGGGGGCCGGCAGGGGAAGAGACTAGCTTCATCCTAGCCCTGGTTGGCTGGAGGTGAACCTTTCCCTTTGGTGGCGAGGCCCAGGCCCTTGGTGGGACTGGGGAAAGAAAGGAGGAGATGATGCACCGATTCCTAACGTGTAGGAGACAACTGGGGCGCAGGCCTGGTCTCTCAGATCCCTTCTCCATGTCGGTAACCCGCACCCACGGGGAGAGGAGTGCAGGGGGAGGGGGCAAACTCGGGGCCCTGCCGATAGGGCAGGCCCGTCCGGAGTAGAGTCATCCTTGTCACCGCCTCTCCCGGCGCGGGGCTGTCAGGTTTCCTGTCTGGAGAGAAAAACCAGCAAAATCCAACAAGGCAAAAGGGAAGGAGGAGAGAGCGGGCCTGTCTGGGCCTTTGCGGTGGCCGGGACACTGGTGCCCCTGCCCGGGCTGTGCCCGCCGCAGGCGTTGGGGGAGAGAGCCGGGCGGGTTGGTTGTGCGCGCCCATCAATCTGCCGGGCGGGCGGGCGGCGGGCGGGCGGACTGGGGGCTGTTTGTAACTTTGCTGCCTCGGTCGCCGCGGTCCCCGGGGAGCGGGCTCCGGCGCTCGCTCCCATTGGCCGCCGCCGCGTCAGCTGGTGCGATTTGCTGCTGTCGCTTTTGGCGTTCGGCCATCCAGAAACAAACCAGTTCGATGACTACTAATAGTTATAGCCAGATGTACTAATACACAACAAATCACAGTCCTGCAGAGGGGCGCGCAAATGAGTTCCTATTTCGTGAATCCCACTTTCCCCGGGAGCCTGCCCAGCGGCCAGGACTCCTTCTTGGGCCAGCTGCCCCTCTACCCGGCCGGCTACGACGCGCTGAGGCCCTTCCCGGCCTCGTACGGCGCGTCGAGCCTCCCGGACAAGACGTACCCCTCACCTTGTTTCTACCAACAGTCCAACTCGGTCCTGGCCTGCAACCGGGCCTCCTACGAGTACGGGGCCTCGTGTTTCTATTCTGATAAGGACCTCAGTGGCGCCTCGCCCTCGGGCAGTGGCAAGCAGAGGGGCCCCGGGGACTACCTGCACTTTTCTCCCGAGCAGCAGTACAAACCCGACAGCAGCAGCGTGCCGGGCAAAGCCCTCCATGACGAAGGCACCGACCGGAAGTACACGAGCCCTGTTTACCCCTGGATGCAGCGGATGAACTCCTGCGCGGGTAAGGTGTTTCCCTGCAGCCCCTCAAAGAGAGTGGAGGGAGAGGGGGAAGGAGGCAGGGAAAGAAGGAAGGAAGGAGCAGACAGAGTAGAAAGAGGACACAAAAAGAAAGGAGGAAAGAATGAACAAAGTTTCTTGGGTTTTTAAAAAGGTGTTGTTTAAAAAAAAAATAATAAACCCAACCCATTCCCAATGGGACAATCAAGCTGTGAAAGACTGAAGGCAGGGCACTAGTGCCCATGTAAGGTGACACCTTAGGGGAGCGTGTGTTGGGGGGGAGTGTCACTCCATGCTCTGTGAGACCCAGTGACGGGGCAGTCTGACGAGAGAGCAAGGCTGGATGGGAGAGTGCCTGCCCACCCTGCACCCTGGTAACACCGTGCAAGGTTCCCCCAGTCGTGATGGCCTTCTGCACCCGGCCTGAGAACGCCTCTTTCACTCACTGGCTCCTCACCTTTCTGCCCTTCAGAAGCCCATCTAGAAAGAGGCCCTCATTTGGCCCCTTGCAGTGTCTCCCCAAAGCCTGGGAGGGCCACATCCCTGGCCTCAGGATTTTTCCGCTCTCTCCTCCCTCCTCTCCTCCCCCCTCCACTCAACTGCTCACTCACAGCCAACTTCTGCCTCCTTCTGAGGCCCTGCCTGAGTCTCACACACCCAACTTGGGGGGAGCCCCCAACCCATGGGTCTTTCTGGCATCAGAATAGATAGCCCATCACAGCCCTACATTCTAGAAGCCCCAGATGGCCCATATCTCCATCTCTTTGCCCCTGATTTCCAAAACTCCACAGGGGATTCTTGGAGAAGGACAGAGCCTAATGCAGATTTTAAAACTTAGTCTTTTGCTTTAAAATTCACGTGTTTTCAAGAGCTCTGCTTTTCTCAGAAGGGCCATACAATGGGAAGGCATTTGCAAAGATCTAAGAGGGCTGACCATTTAAAATTTTCCAAAAAGTATGTTGTGTCCTGAAGTACTGACCACAGTAATAACTCCACAGAGGTCGGTGTGTGAATTGGGAGTGTGTACCCTATTCACAGGGTTCCATACCCACCATTTCCAGACACACACACTGTACCCCCACAAAACAGACTTAGGTGCCCGGATTTAAGAATGCTGTTCTATTCTTTTTTCTTGTAATATTTTTACTGAGCAGATTTTGCAAAAACAATCATTTCCCACTCCAAGTCGTTTTAGGTGGAAAATATCTCGCTTGGTATGAAATAATCTTCTCCCATCCAGTCCACTTTCGGGCCCCAGACATAGTGGGAGAGGCGGGTGGTTTCCAGACCCGAGACCAGGGAGCGGGGTTCAGGGCTGACTGGTCAGGCTGCCTGGATCCTGGCTTACTGGCGTCCGGCTATTTCTGCCCGCAGGTGCTGTGTATGGGAGTCACGGGCGCCGAGGCCGCCAGACCTACACGCGCTACCAGACGCTGGAGCTGGAGAAGGAGTTCCACTTCAACCGCTACCTGACGCGGCGCCGCCGCATCGAAATAGCCAACGCGCTCTGCCTCACCGAGCGCCAGATCAAGATCTGGTTCCAGAACCGCCGCATGAAGTGGAAAAAGGAAAATAAACTCATCAATTCCACACAACCCAGCGGGGAGGACGCTGAGGCAAAGGCGGGCGAATAGACGCCTGGGCAGGGACCAGGCCCGCGCCGCAACCTCCCTTGGCTTTGCCCCCTTGCCTTCGCCTGCTCCCCAACTTTTCTTCCCGCCTGCTCTCATACGGGGGGCTTTCGAAGCTTCAGGGGAGCCCGGCGCTTTGCAAACGCCTGAGCATTTATTTCTTACAAGGAAAAAAAAAAAAAATCCCACACAGCCAATCCCAGCGGTAGAGCGAGACGCACTGCACACGCAGTCCCGATCTCCCAGGCTGCCCAAGCCGGATCCGGATCTCCGGGCCCGCCCCGAATCCGTCCCCGGCTCTTGTATTAGCGCCTCTGCACGCCCCTCAGCTCGGGTCGCTGGGTTACTGGAGAGGAAAGAACCCGGGGACCGAGCCCGTTTTGGTGTCTGGGCGTGTTTCCGCCTCAGTTCCTCGCCACCAAGTCCCAGAGATCTTGATCACCAAATCAACCCCGACCACTGGGAAGAGGGGGCCTAAAGTCTGGGGCCCCAGCTCTGCCGTGGCCTTCTAGGCCGTCCCCAGACAGGAAGACGCGCGAGGAACAAAGGGGGACCGAGAGAGAGGCTTGTCTCTCGGCCCCGCGCACAACCGTCCGTGGAGAAGAAGCAACCTCAGCCCAGCCAAGCCAACCTGGGCATGGGTGGAACTTCCCAGCCCTGGAAGCGACTGGGCTCCCCGAAGGCTCTGAGCTCCGGATTCCGGCTCCCCGCCTCCGACAGCGCCGGCGCTGCCACCGCAACAGCTTTCAGGACCTAAGGAGACGGCCCAGAGCCATGGGAGCCGCAAGACTCCTGGTTTTCAAACGTGCCAGGGGCGCCTGAGATGCTTGGCCTCCAACGGAGAGACTCCCCCGCCTCGCCTTTAAGCTATATTTGTGATTTACTTTCATCTTTCAGAACCCAGAAAGATAACCACGGAGGTACTAGGCACTGCCACAAAATGCTTTCATTAGCGCCCTCATTTTACTCCTGGAGGTCTAAACAAGACCCTAATAATTCGGCCCACGGATCCCCAGCCCCAAACAGCTTCTGTGGCTATGAGGAGCCTGGGCCCACTCTCTGGGTTCACCGAGAACCCTCCGACTTGGGGCCCGGTTGGCTAGAGGAAAGGGACTGGGTGGTGAAGATTCTCCAAGCTGGATACTCAAAGCAAATCAAATAGCAAACTAATGACAGGAGAACCATATTTACACGCAAGAAAAATCGACTCTGGTTATAAAAGTGTATGGAATTTGACCTCGCCTCGGAGAAACACTACACAAAAGCTATCTTTAATAGACGCCTGTCATTTAAGAGCGGCAGGGACACTGCCCCTCACGCGCCCGAAAAAACAGAGCCATAATTGTAACTGCTGCTGCGGGTAGGATTTATTTCTCCAGTTGGCTAAATGGCCTCCCCCCTTCCCCGAAGGTGATATCTGTATTTTCAAATTTCAGAGCTGTCGGCACGACGGGCAGAACCGACCCCAATCTCGCCACAAAAAATAAGAGGGGCTACACAGCGGGGAAATAAAGTTGTTGTAAATAAAATTCAAGTCACCATCTTCCCCAGTCCTCTGCATCCTCGCCGGGCACGCGATCGGCAGCTGACGGCCTCACAATTGGTACATCCTAATGGAACTGCGAGGGAAATGCAATAATTTTGCCATAATGGGCTGTAACCTCAATTCGACCCCGGCCCTCGCAGCCCCGGGTCGGAAGCGGAGCGATGCGCTCTGCCTCCAGCGGGTGGCGCTCGAGTCCGACTGAACGACGGCGGCGGGCGGCGGGCACGCGCCTGGGGCGCGCGCGCCACCCCTCTCGCCTCCACCCAACTCCCCCATTAGTGCACGAGTTTACCTCTAGAGGTCATCAGGCAGGATTTACGACTGGACAACAAAAGCACGTGATTCGAAGTCGTACCCCATATTTGGGTGCCTACGTAGGAGGGAACCAAGTACATGTCCCAGTCATTTCCATAATTCATCATAAATTGTGCAAGGGTGCTATAGACGCACAAACGACCGCGAGCCACAAATCAAGCACACATATCAAAAAACAAATGAGCTCTTATTTTGTAAACTCATTTTGCGGTCGCTATCCAAATGGCCCGGACTACCAGTTGCATAATTATGGAGATCATAGTTCCGTGAGCGAGCAATTCAGGGACTCGGCGAGCATGCACTCCGGCAGGTACGGCTACGGCTACAATGGCATGGATCTCAGCGTCGGCCGCTCGGGCTCCGGCCACTTTGGCTCCGGGGAGCGCGCCCGCAGCTACGCGGCCGGCGCCAGCGCGGCGCCCGCCGAGCCCAGGTACAGCCAGCCGGCCACGTCCACGCACTCGCCTCCGCCCGACCCGCTTCCCTGCTCCGCCGTGGCCCCTTCGCCCGGCAGCGAGAGCCACCACGGCGGGAAAAACTCCCTGGGCAACTCCAGCGGCGCCTCGGCCAACGCCGGCAGCACCCACATCAGCAGCAGAGAGGGGGTTGGCACGGCGTCCGGAGCCGAGGAGGACGCCCCCGCCAGCAGCGAGCAGGCGAGCGCGCAGAGCGAGCCGAGCCCGGCGCCGCCCGCCCAACCCCAGATCTACCCCTGGATGCGCAAGCTGCACATAAGTCATGGTAAAGCCAGCCTTTTCCTAAATCCAGCCGCGGGGGTGCGACTCTCGGTCCCCCTCCCATCTCCTTTACCGCCCTCTCTCTCCCGGTCTCTCCTGGTTTCCCCTCTCCCAGCCCGGTGGAGCCTCTCCCCGCCGTTCTCCTTCCCCTGCCTTCCTTCTTCCTCCTCTTTGCAGCGCTGGGCGCTCACAAATGGGGGGTTGCGGGGGAAGGGGCCGTTGGCCAGGCAAGTTTAGACGTTGAAAGAGGGGGGAAAGGAAAAACAAGAACATATCGAAGCCCAGCGCCTCGGAACGCGCTGACGGGTCAGGCCAGTCGAGCAGGGAGCAGAGGGGTAGAGGATGGCAGTAGGGGCCGTGAATCGGGCTTGTCAGGGCGGATAATTTATGAGGAGGGCTACGCTGGGGAAACAGCGTTACTAATTAGAGTCCCCGAAAAGGGGCTTGGGGGAGAATCATCGAGGCGAGAGCTGGCGAGATTCTGAAGTTTGGGCGCAGGAGGATAGAGCAGAAAAGGAAAGGGAAGAAGAAGGGGGAGGAAAAAAAAAAAAGAAAGCAGGCGCCCCAAGCGTGCAGGCTGGAACAGGAGGCGCCTCGCGGGGCTGGAACTTTGAGGGTGACCTGGAGGCCACTTGGGCGCACAGAAACGGGCCTTGCTTTGGTGGGTGTCTGAGTGTCGGGCAGCCTGAGAGGGCTGTGCCCTGCCTCGGGACGCCAGAGGCAGGTCCAAAGGGCAAGAGAGGGACGGGGGAAAGCCGGCTGATCCTCCGGGGACGCGGCTTCAACCTCGGATGGGCCGATTGTTCCCAGAGTCCAAACCGTATTGTTTTCTCTCTAGGAAGGAAGAGGGAAGGAAATTCGGGAGGGGTGGGCGGGCGGGCGAGGAGGGAGGACTTGTTGAGCTTTTCCCCCCTGTTCCCTGTCCAGGACCCTGGCAGTTCCAGCTGGTGGACTTTTTGGTAGCCACAGGCTGAGGAGTGGGTGGCTAAACCGCTGACTTTTCTGTTGCAGACAACATAGGCGGCCCGGAAGGCAAAAGGGCCCGAACGGCCTACACGCGCTACCAGACCCTGGAGCTGGAGAAGGAGTTCCACTTCAACCGCTACCTGACCCGCCGAAGAAGGATTGAAATAGCACATGCTCTTTGCCTCTCGGAGAGACAAATTAAAATCTGGTTCCAAAACCGGAGAATGAAGTGGAAAAAAGATAATAAGCTGAAGAGCATGAGCATGGCGGCGGCGGGAGGGGCCTTCCGCCCCTGAGTATTTGAGCGTTTAAAGTACTGAGCAGTATTAGCGGGTCCCGCGCAGTGTCAGTACTGAGGTGACTTTCTGAAATTCCCTTGTGTTCCTTCTGTGAAGAAGCCCTGTTCTCGTTGCTCTAATTCATCTTTTAATCATGAGCCTGTTTATTGCCATTATAGCGCCTGTATAAGTAGATATGCTTTCTGTTCATCTCTTTGTCCTGAATGGCTTTGTCTTGAAAAAAAAAATAGATGTTTTAACTTATTTATATGAAGCAAGCTGTGTTACTTGAAGTAACTATAACAAAAAAGAAGAGAAAAAAACACACAAAAAGTCCCCCTTCGACCTCGTTTAGTGCCAATGTTGTGTGTTGCACTCCAGTTGTTTAACTGTGCATGTGAGTGGAAGTGTCCCTGTCTCAATAGCTCCAAGCTGTTAAAGATATTTTTATTCAGACTACCTATATTCCTTGTGTAATTAATGCTGTTGTAGAGGTGACTTGATGAGACACAACTTAACTTGTTCGACGTGTAGTGACTAGTGACTCTGTGACGAAAACTGTGACTCTGAGCGGTGTGTCCCTGCGTGCCTTTGTAGGACCCTTTGCACGAACTCTGGAAGTGGCTCTTATAAGCGCAGCTTCAGTGATGTATGTTTTTGTGAACAAAGTTACAAATATTGTCCAAGTCTGGCTGTTTAAGCAAACTGTGATCAGCTTTTTTTTTTTTTTTTGGTATTTGTTTTTAAGGAAAAAATACTGACTGGAAACAAAAAATAAACTTTCTATTGTAAGTTCTCTTGGTCTGGTTTGTGCCAAATAGCAAGCGGCTCTTTCTGCTCTTCTGTCTGTCTGTCTGATGTGGGGAGGCAGTGAGTCTGTGGCTACCTGAGCAGCCTGCTTGTGCAAGGGGACCTCAAACCAGCAGCCTGACCCGCGGCCTCCCTAACTCTGACCCAGCAGAGAGTTCAGGGCAGGAGGTAGAAAAGCCTTAGGTGCTTGTAAAGCCTGAGTTTAACCTGCCCGTTTCTGAGGAAACCAAGTTAACTGGCTGGGTACCAAAAAAAAAAAAGAAAAAGGAGAAAAAGCCCAGGGCTTTGTTAGCGGCCCTCAGGGGCCCACACAGTTGCTGCCTCTCTCTGGAGGCCATCCTAGGCCTCCACTTGCTGAAAAGGCTGCTGTGTCAAGTTGTGGCCCCCAGACCCTCTACCCCTAACCCACCCAGGCACTCTTTCCCACTCCTCGCCCTCCTGAACCCAGTTGGCTTCTTTTGCTACAATTAATTTGCTACAAATGGAAGGTACTTACCCCATCCTAGCTTGAGTGGGAAACTCCTCAGAGCA